TCAGGGGACATTGGGGACATGGAGGGACCCTCAGCCCACAATGTGGGAGGGGGGAGCTGGAGCCTGACCCTGGCATGGGCCAAATTCAGCGCTGGTGTCACCAGCAGTGGGGCAGGAGCTGAATTTGGTGTCACCAGCAGTGGGGCAGGAGCTGGATTTGGTGTCACCAGCAGTGGGGCAGGAGCTGGATTTGGTGTCACCAGCAATGGAGCAGGAGCTGAATTTGGTGTCACCAGCAGTGGGGCAGGAGCTGGATTTGGGGTCACCCAGCAGCACCCACCTCCCTCAGCTGCTTTCTTCCTCCTCTTCTTCCTCCACACCCAGAAGGTGCCAAGCAGGGTCCCCACGACCACAACCAACAGCACCAGGCGCAGGTGCCACCTCCTCCCACCGTCTTTATCTGTGGGGACAAAGTGTGGTGGGTGCCAGGACCCCCCTGGATGGGTGACAATGGGTGACACTGGGTGCTGGGGGGGGGTTACCCTGCTGCCAGCACAGGGTGTCCAGCTGGATGGTGACATTCTTCTCCTGGGTGGGATTTTTGGCCACGCAGGTGTAGCTGGAATTGAAGGAGTTGGTGGGTACAGCCAAGCACAGTGTCCATCTGTCCTCACAGAGTTGTCCCCACCGTGTCCCTGAGGAGTTGTTGAGCTGCCAGGTGAGCTCAGCATCGCTACCAGCCGGCACCCAACACCTCAAGGTGACGTTGCACCCTTGGGTGCTGAGGGAGAGATGTTGATATCGAATCTCTGGTGTTGGCACCGACCCTGGTTTAAAATACAAATAAACCCTATGACAGCAACCAAAGGGGACAACCCCTTGGGGACAACTTGGGGACACTTTGGGGAGGGTGAACTGGGCTGGTGGAGCAGGAGAGGGTGTGGGAAGGGGAAGTGGTTGGTCCTAAATCCAGGAAACCCCCCGTGACTGATGCTCAGCAATAAAAAACCCCCCCAATTTCTCTTCCCCGGGTGCTCTGGGGGACAGAAGAACTTTGTCACCTTGACCATGGGTTGGTGTCACCACCCAAGGTTCTAAATTCATCTCCACTTTGTAGCTTCTCACCATAGATGGAAAGATTGAAGACTTGATCCTTCACCAAGGCTGGGAGAAGTTTGAGCCGAGCCCCGTAGATCCCGTTGTCACCTCGTTGCAGGTTTTGGATCTTCAACGTCGTCTGGTTGAACATTTCCAATCGATTTTGAAATCGATCTTGAGGATCTGGACGTTCCAAACCATCGAGCCCCAGTTCTGCTATTTGAATGGTGGCACCAGTACTGGTGGAAAAGCTCCACTCGATCTTCTTCACTGTCTCGTTGAGGGATAAAGTTGGGGAGAGTAACACGGACCCCCCCAAAACACCACTCACTTGGTGGGGTTGGGTGGTGACGGTACCTGGTCAAGGGAGGGATAAGATGGAGGATGGAGATCCCCAGAAGACCCCCATAAGATGCCCCAGAAGGTCCCCCAGAAGACCCTCCAGAAGAACCCCAGAAGACCCCCCAGAAGACCCCCAGAAGAACCCCAGAAAGCCCCCAGAAGACCCTCCAGAAGACCT